AGGTATGAGCTTATAGCCTATTTATTATGTGGGATATTATAGTATATTTAGCTATACGGTATAATATTATATGAGATCTCATTAGGGCATGGGACTGAACAGGCTCATATATATACGAATACTTATTTTATTATTATATTAATATATTAACTAAAAGCATACATACTATAGTGATGTGTCCAATATAAGCAGATACATATTCGCGAGTCAATAGCAGGTGAGAGAGAGAGCGAGAGCACGACACTACACACATAATATACTAGTACATGATACACTATAGTATATATAGGGGATAGTGATAGTACGTGGAGGAGTATAAAGCTAGAGTATATACTCTATGTGCAGCATTATATTTATCTAAATATAACTAAAATATTTTGAGCAATACAATACTATATAGACTTATATGTAATACATCATGATGGTGTGTGTGTGTGTGATGTGTGTGATGTGTGTGTGTTGTGTTGGTGCTGTCGCTGGTGTGTGCGAGTCGCTGTGTGTGTGGTGTTGTCAGCTGTGAGTGATGTGATGGTTGTCGCTCTCGTGTTATACGCTACCTATTATGATCACATGCGATGTGACTAATGGCTGCCTATATCGATCTATAAATAGAAGGGGGTTACCAATCACTTATCATCACTCGAGCTGTTAGTGAGAAATTATATAGCTAAGAGTTATTACTATATTTATATAATAAATACATAACTCAATTATTAAAGACTTTTAAATTTCCATAAATATCATATAATATATCATTATATATATTTTACTACATATGTTTAATAAACACACTATATATTTCATATAGTACTTTATATACTCTATATTATTAATATTTATAATTACACACTATATTAATATTCATATAATATAGTAAATATATATATTTATATTTATGTTATATAATATATATATTTATATTTATATATATATCTCTCAATATATATATTTAATATTATATATATAGTACCAAACTATACTTTATATCTCTATATTTAACACTATATATATAAATATATATATTTATAATTTATTAATATTATAAATTATATATTTATACTTATATAAATATTATATACTTTATACATTTATATTAATATATCAGCGATATCTATGATTATAGTATTATAATATTTATATAATACCATAATAGTTAAATCCATATATAATAGTATTATGAATTTTACGTCATATATTATTGATACTCAGATTATACATAGTAATTTTACCTACTATATTTGTATAGTACGTATGCAGTATATAAGGGTAAAATATAAATTGTGTGGTGTCGTGTGTGTGTGTGTGAGGTTGTGAATGATGTGGTGGTAATCTTGTGTGTGGTCGTGTGGGATGTGTGATGTGTTTGTGTGTTGGTGATGTGTTGTGTGTGTTGTTGTGTAGTGTGTGTGTGTGGTGTAGTGTGATAGTATCGTGTGTTCAGTAGTGTGTGGTGTGAGCGTGAGTGTAATGTGTAGCTATGTGTGCTCGTGTGGTTTGAGTCCAGTGTGAAGTAGTTGTGAGTTGTGTAGTATTGGCTGTTGTGTGGAGTAGTGTTTCTGTGTGTTGGTGTTGAGTGGTGGCTATTTTTTTGGTGGTGTAATGATGTTGTAGTTACATATGTAGTGAAGTGTGTTGAGTGATGTGATGGTGTACTATATGTATATATATTGTATATAGTATATCCTAGGTTAGCATATGTGAAAATACATAATAATAATTATATGTTCTAATATACATATCTGAATTTTATTTTATCGCTATGAATATGTATAATAGGGTAAAAATATATATTAAATAATAAGATATAAATAATCCATAGTGAGAGTAACTACAATATAATACATGAATACATACCACACACACCGGAGACTGGATGTGGTACAGTTATGTGGGTAATGCAGACAAGGAGGGATACTACGTTAGGCACTACCGTTGAATCCTATCGCAAAACGTGCAACGGTATATGGGAAGTTGAGGCGCGCAAGTTCCTCGCGCTCCGCTCTCACTTGACCATAAATACATTGAAATTAATCATCTGCGCGAGTAGATCCACTTTCAAGAAACTCCCCAGCCGGATCTCAATTGATACACCGCCAAGCAATGTTTCACATTGAGATATACGGGCGTGAGGGAGGGGGATTGTGGGCTAGTCGTTTCCGTATTATCTCGCACAAGTAACTGACAGGACCAGAGTTACTTCTGTAGGGGACACCCTTAAGCGTGAAAGCGCGCGCCTCAGGCTTGAATGCAGCCTCAATGAACGAATTGGTGAACGACCCACGCACGCGCAAAAACAGAATTTCATCTCGCAGGAGACACTGGATGCCACAAATGCTTGTCGTGTGGCTCGTCTGACAGGGGATCGGGATTTGCACCGTTTTCAGGTGCTCAGAACTCAGTCACTGTTAAGAAGGGACAAGGAACAGTTTATTAGGAGTCTTGCAGAGGAGGTAGAAGGCCATTTCTTAGTAAAGGACCAATCCCTCTTCACAGGTGACAACAGTTCTCTTAGTAAGTGGCCAGATCGTCTCAGATACTGTTGTGGTGCGGGAGCACTGGGCTGTGTATTTTGAGCAGTTGTACCAGGTTGACCCACTAACAGTTAACTTGGATGCAGGTAATGCTGACATTCCGTTACTAGACCCACCCATTAGTGAGGATCCTCCCTCCCTAACTGAAGTTAGAGGGGCAGGTATATACGCGGCATCCCAGCTGAACTGTTAAAGGCTGGTGGTGAACCCATGGCGCGGGGGTTGCATGCTGTCCTGGCAGCTATCTGACGGTCCGGTACCGTTCCCCCTGACCTGTTGAGAGGTGTGGTCATCCCTCTCTGGAAGGGGAAGGGGGGACCGATGGGATTGCAGCAACCACCGAGACATCACACTGCTCAGTATACCAGGCAAGGTTCTCGCCCACATCCTCCTGAGATGTATCAGAGACCACCTACTGAGGCATCAGAGGCTGGAGCAATCTGAATTCGCTCCTGGTAAGTCAACAACAGACCATATATTTGCACTTCAAGGCATTGTAAAGTGTCGTTGTAAGTTCGGGCGTGGGCTGCTTGCAGCCTACATCAACCTCAAGGTGTTCGATAAGGTCCTGGAAGTGCTGTAAAGTGTTGGGGGGCCTGTCGAGCTTCTTGGACTGCCAGCAAGGGTCATGAACTCTCTCAACAAGAGTATTTGGAGATGCCGGTACCTGCGCAGAAGGACCAAGCTACGCGTCTTCAAGGCCCTGATAATGCCAATACGGTAGTGAAACCTGGACATTATCCTGTGCCTTGGAGTCGTCGTCATGCCTTTTGTAATTGGTCCTTGCGCCTGATCATGCGGTACTGTTGGCGGAACCACGTGTCCAACCTACACAATCCGTGATCGGCAACTTAGGCTCTACAGCCACCTGGCTCGCTTCCCTCAGGATGATCCTGCCCATTAGGCTGTCTCTGTTCGAGACAGCCCAGGGTGGAGGAGACCTGTGGGACGGCTTAGGAAGTCGTGGCATGGGCCGATCAATAAAACCTGTCGTGAGGAGCTTGGGATGGGCCGAGTAACTGCCTGGCGGCTTGCCATGAGGGACCCTCATAGGTACAAAAAAAGGGTGGATGCGGCTATGCGCCCCCGTCGGCGTTAGCTCCATGATGATGATGATATATACATGTGTGTGTGCATATACACATATATATGTATGTATATATATAATAGTATATGAAATATAATATATAATATATAATAATATATGATATATATATAATATTGTTGGTGTATGTGTGAATTTATATGTATACTATAAGTACAACAACATCCATATATATATATATATATACGTTTGTAAATATTACAACATATATACTATGTCGCGTGATATTTGTAATATAGTATAGCTATGATATACGTTATATATATACACCATGAGTGCCATAAACAATACCACTATACACCAGTATCCACTTGTACCTCAGTATATATAAAACGGTATTGTTGTTCAAGGTATATAATTATGTGCATTTATAATATTGTATACACATATATATATATAGTAATATATATACATACATACATATATATATATTAGTAGACATATACAGATAAACATAGCATATATAAACATTAATATCTACACATATATATCTAAATATATTCATTCATGTCCTATATATATATCCAGCGATGCAAGTGGAACGACATTACCTGTTTTAGCTGTACATTACCAACATCAATGTCCATTTACACGATTTCCATGTGAAACTAGGAAATATTAATATAAATATAGTTAATAACGTCTAGGATTTATTATTGTGTTCACATACACTCTCATATGATATATATTAGAAAATATACATATCACCTCACAATATATATATGTGAACATATATATAATAATATATATCATACATATATATATATTACATTATATATATATAATATATATATATATATAGATACATAACATACATACATAATACAATATAATATATATATATATATTATATATATAATATATATATATATAATACCATACATAACAATAATGTGTAATACATATATATATGTATATTATGATATTATATATATATACTATATATTACATATGTATGTGTGTGTATACTGTCTATATGATATAATATTATTGTTCATAGAATCTATACTCTCTATATAATTAATACTGCATATTTTATACATATTGTTTATATATAATATATATTCTGCATATATATATATATAATTATATATAATTTATACTGAGATCTATAATTTATTTTGTATCTAATGATAATACTTGTATAATATAATGTATACTCTATATATATATAATGTATATTTTGTATAGTGCTAATGCCTGTATATTATATAATGTGTATATTAATATATATATATATATATATATATATATATAATGTATTCTGTATTTATAATTTCTACTGCCCTACTAAAGAATTTTATATCATCTTCATTGTTGTATAAAAGAAATCAGACCAAAATTTGAGAGAAAAAAAGTGTTACCTGTAAAATCGCTGATGGCTTTCCGCCAACTGCTACCCATTTCGTGTAAAAGCCGAACATGCCTTTATTATAGGCGACCATACTCTGCTGGTTATAGTGCCCCTTACTGAAGGCGCTCTGTAGGTTTTAGAGCAGTGTATGTTTAAATAGGGTGAGAGACAGACAGGATGATATTCATACATGTAAAAATATACTCCAGGTCACTCAGTCAACCTCTCTCGCTCGCTCTCTCTCACTCACACATAGAGAAACACACTCTCTCTCTCTCTCTCTCTCTCTCTCTCACACACACAATCATTCACTTTCAAATGCAGTGTAAGTATAGAACCATTACCTTAGTACCATCTCCGGGCTTGACTCTCATTGTGAATCCCTTTTTCAGAAGACCTGGGAATACAGACTTGAACCGGTGCGCTAAAGTGGCAATTTCTTCCTCGCCTTCCTTAGTAAGCATAGCTGAATTGCTCATCATGTGAGACATTTTCCACCTTTGAATTAATGCCAAATCCTTGTCGCAGAGCTTTCCTGCAAGATGCAAGGGTTAATCCGTCTGTCTACGGTCGATGATAGTGATAATGATAATTGTGGTAGTGATGGTGTTGATGATGAGGATGGTATTGACTGATGATGCTGGTGATTGTGATCATGACGATGATGGTATTACGGTCATGGCTCGGACAACGATAAAGGTGACATTGACGGCGATAATGCTGGTAAGATGTTGATGATAATAAAGATACTGGTAATGTTAAAAGCCTAATACCAACCTTATTTAAAACTGTAACAATAAACAACAATAATTATAACACTAGAGACTACTATGTCACCTACCCTTCAAGTTCGTGCGACTTCGAAGGATCTTTCTCCTAAGAACTGTCAAGTTATCTTCAAACTTTATATAGTCTTTCTTCGGAGGACCGTTGCTTCCGTGGCGTACGAGGTGCCCTCGTGCTCCAGGGGGCGAGGCGAACACGCAAGAGTGAAGAGGTTGTTCTCGTCAAACCGATTTGTTGACAGTTATCTATTCTTCGGACCCTATGGCACACGACACTGAACGGCATTACTGCATTTCCTTAAAGTAGATTCTGTGATCGGAGTATCAACAAAAATGCAAATCTTGATTATTTTGGAACGCCCTTTAAGGCTCAAATAACCTAGGTGACCATTGCCCCCCAGCCTAGCCCGCGTGAGCACGCCGTGCGGGACAACAAACCACGGCGCTTTTCTTGGCACGAGAGTCTTTTCTTGCGGAGGACCGTTGCTTATCCGTGGCTGTAACGAGGTGCGCATTTTGCAACAACTGGCTGGCATCCTGAGCAGGATATTTGAAAAAAAAGGTCATCGTAGGCGAAAAGAGTGACACTGTTTCCATACGTTTCCTGATACGCTAAGAACTAGGATTGCAAAGCTAATTCAACTATTCGAGGAGAGAGAGACGGTACACACAGAACCACAAAGCACTGTACGAAAATAAGCTCTAATCACCTGTGGGAATGACATCATCCGCCTTCAAGATTCCGTAGGCGTCCCTGTATGGAGTTAGGAGAGCGAAGCCCGTGTAAGGGTCATTGTCTTCGGAGAGACAATACATATTCTTTTTTCCTTTTTTGTTTTCAGGGCCCATGAATATTTTGGACGAGTCATTATTCTTTGACTCCTCGGTTTGCGACACCTTTCTATCATGGGCCTCTAGAACCTCGGTTTCTAAATCATCTGAATCCTCGGTCTCTGACGACTCTGTGGAATCCTCGGCTTCTGACAATCTGAACCCTCGGCTTCTGACGTCTCTGAACCCTCGGCTTCTGAAACCGCTTTGAACCCTCGGTTTCAAACATCTTTGAATCCTCGGCTTCTGACAACCTGAACTTGGCTTCTGACGTCTCTGAATCCTCGCTTCTGACGTGAACCTCGGCTTCTGACGTCTGAACCCTCGGCTTCTGACGTCTGAGGCTTCTGAACCCTCGGCTTCTGACGTCCCTGAACCCTCGGCTTCTGACGTCTCTGAACCCTCGGCTTCTGACCGCTTTGAACCCTCGGCAGCTGACGCCTCTGTATCGGCTTTTAACAGCTCGGCTTCTGACGTCTCTGAATCCTCGGCTTCTGACGTCTCTGAATCCTCGGCTTCTGACGTCTCTGAACCCTCGGCTTCTGACGTCTCTGAACCTGAACCTCGGCTTCTGACGTCTCTGAACCTCGGCTTCTGACCGCTTTGAACTTCGAAACCTCCTCGCTTCTGACGTCTCTGAACCCTCGCTTCTGACGTCTCTGAACCCTCGGCTTCTGACCGCTTTGAACCCTCGGTTTCAAACATCTTTGAACCCTCGGCAGCTGACACCTCTGTATCGGCTTTTAACAGCTCTGAACCCTCGGCTTCTGACGTCTCTGAATCCTCGGCTTCTGACGTTCTGAACGGCTTCTGACGTCTCTGAACCCTCGGCTTCTGACGTCTCTGAATCCTCGGATTCTGACGTCTCTGAACCCTCGGCTTCTGACCGCTTTGAACCCTCGGCAGCTGACGCCTCTGTATCGGCTTTTAGCAGCTCTGAACCCTCAGCTTCTGACGTCTCTGAATCCTCGGCTTCTGACGTCTCTGACTTCTTCTCTTCGGCTTCTGACCGCTTTGAACCCTCGGTTTGAAACATCTTTGAATCCTCGGCTTCTGACGTCTCTGAACCTCGGCTTCTGACGTCTCTGGATCCTCGGTCTGTGACACCTTTGTATCATCGGCTTCAGGCATCTTTAAATCATCGGCTTCTGACGTCTTTGCAATCTTGACTTCTGATGCCTCTGAACCCTCGGCTTCTGACGTCTCTGAATCCTCAGTCTCTGACGTCTCCGAATCGGCTTCTGAAGTCTCTGATGCCACGTATTTCGGCACCTTCACTTTCTTGTGTTCAAACTCCTTTGAATCCTTGGTCCCTATCGTCTCTGAGTCCTTAGGGTTTGCGACACCTGACGTCTCTAAGGCCACAGCACCTGTAAGAGTTGACCTTAACGATTTTCCATATTGCTTCACATCCAGCGGGACATTCAGAAACGCCATCGCCAGCAGAAGGCCGAAGACGCCCACAAGAAGCCACTTCATCCTGTTCTCCATCTCTCAGCTGCAAAAAGATATGCATAATAAAGTTCAGCTTCCTCTTCGCTTACAGTCTACATCCTCTTGGTGAATAATGAAAACACAATCGTCATTATTCACTCTCAAGCAATGAATACTTCATATTTACATTTGAAAATCAGTTAACCTAAACAGCATAAAAATACCTTTTCAAACTGTATGTACGGTTTTGCTATATTTTTCATTCCCTTTCTTCCTATGTACTACTGAAGCATTTTGGAGATAACTCCTTCCTCTAGTTTATGTCAGTAGGTGAACACGCCTAAGGTTCTATAGGCAGGCTCGTGTATCCATGTCAGAAAGAATACCCGAGGTTTGGAACCGCTGTTCGAAACAACTGTGTTCGCTTTAGTGGTGGTTCAACATTTCAACATTTTCACAAGCGTACAAAGAACTCTCTTTGCTGACCACCACCCCTCATTGCCATCTAAAAGCGTACACCTGGCAATGTTTATGCCAGACGTGCCCTTGAGCTGACAGGGTAGTCCTGATAGCCATGCTACCCCTAAAATCTTTTCATAATTAGGGGTTATTTTCACTTGGGAGAAGGTTCAGGATCATTTCCAGTCGGGACAAAGAATCAGAACCAAGTCGGAGAAATATTTCACACCAACTATTGAATATACTAACTTTCAGCATGAATGAATTTATTGATCATTTATAAAAAAAATAATAATAATAAACAAAAAATACCTAGGGTCGTGAAGGCGGGAAAGTGTTATTTAGCCACAGATACTGAGTGTTCGATACTATCTGACTACATTTTCATAAAAAAGCGTGCGAGCGGGTTTAATCCCCACCTTCACCCCACCCCCCAACATGCACTTTGTACTTTCGTGGAAATGTTGGAAATTTTGAACCACACCTTAGTGGATTCGTTTATTCTTGTTGTGATCTCAGTAACCTAAATAGGTTGGAAAAGACTACTGATACGGCAGAGAAGACCAGATGGCTGGCCTGTGGATGCGTGGTGAAACAAACGAGACACCAGTCTTTATTAGGTAGGTTCTATTCATTACCCGGAAATGACGCTTTTAAGCGCATAAGCATGTGTGCTGTAAGCCCAACTGCGAGATATCGCATACAGCGGTCGCATGCTTAACCTAGGCCAAATTAGGTTATTACAAGACCCTCAGAGTCGAATCTGAAGTTTGATCGATGGAAGGTGTCCGCTTCCGGATCTTAAAAGTATGGCCGAGGTTACGCTTACGGCAGGCGTATCCGATTTCTCGCAGTTAGGCGTACGGCACTCTTACGCCGCCATCTTGTTTGTTTTACCACGCATGCGCAGGACACAAATCGGGACCTTTTCTGCCCTACCAGTAGTCACTTCCTTGAAATATATATTCTAGATAGGTCGGCTACACAACATCGGTCTGACCGCCACGCTTCTCATTGCTTCGAGACATGGGAGCAGCCTTATAACGACAACCGACTGGCTGGCTCTTGCACTCTCTGTAGGAGTAAGTGCCTGAGCCGCATTCAGAGCAAAGGGCCCTTTTTGTTTTGCACTGAGGCATAAGGTGGCCGTAGGTAAAACAATTCTTGCATTGTTTGAGAAGTGTGAACCTCTCAAACTCCACTTGCCAAGGGGCAACACATACCTTGAAGAGGTAGAGCCCTTTCTCCTTTATCTGTTTGGCTGCGGCATGGTCGGAGAACCTGACCTTTAATTTAGCTTCATTACAAAGACATGCTCCACTTTAGCCTCAGGAACAGAGGCCATGATCCCGTCAGCAATGTCTTGCTCTGGCTCGATGACTACCTGCCGATCGAGCTTTTTAAGTACAAGGGTGAGCTTGGCCTTCATCTCTACCGGGAGGATAGGGGTGAAGCCATGCTTTTTCAAGGTCTGGAGGACCTCTTTGGAAAATAGCCTTTCGGCCTGAGTGTCATCCTCGACGAGGACAAGCTAGCCCTCGTGGATGGTGAAATACCGAAGCACTCGGATTTCAGCGTTAAAAAAAACATTCGCGAGGATCTCGCGCTTCCTCGGGAATGGACCCTCGAGGGTTTTGATCTTAATTTTGGCCATGTTTACTCAGGGTGCACGAGTGAGGTGATATGAGGTGGAGTGAGGGTGAAATGGCAGGGGTGATTGTGAGGTGACGTAGAGAGATAGAAAGGCTGGAAAAATGGAACCTAGACTCGACCCCCCCCCCCTTAGTGACAGCCTGATGGAGTTCAGTGTCCTAGAGGATCGGAGCTCTGTGTTGGGCCGCCTCTTTACTGCCAATCCTTGCTTAAAAGGAACAACAGGTGGACAGCGCATCACCCAGACGAATACAAAAGCCCGCGAGGGACTTAAGCAGGTCCAGATAACCACAGTAAAGGGAAGGAGTTTAGTAGGAGAGAAAGGGCACCTAAATGTCACCTCAGCCTGCTGGGCCTCACTATACAGGTTGCCCTGTGATAGTGCTGCGGGTCTGAGAAGAGATGCAAGGTTCCCTGATCACCGTTTATAGCTGTGAGAAGAAAAACCTTGAGGAGGCAATGGCAAGAACAAAATCTCTGTGAAACAGTTATTGAGAATTAACAATTACTGTATGAAGTGAGAGGATATCAAAATGGACTTCAGCGCGATTGAGGCCCCGGCAGACCAGGGCCCATATCCCCGAAAGGTCTCAGACAATTCTGAGACTAAATGCATTTTAAACATGGGAGCGCTACATCAAGAATTCTTGCCAATAGGCCAAGAACTGCACCGTTCCCTGCTTAAAACGATTTCCAAAGCAGGCAGGCCCTGTTAAGTGATGTCAGACATGTGGAAGTGTCTTTCTATAAAGCACAAATCATAAGTCATTGGAGAACATAGAAATGTCAAAATAACACACAGCTTATACATACTTGGATTTTAAAGGCAATAGACAAGTATTCCCACCAACAGTCTCGGAAAGAGATAACTAGTGCATAAATCGAGAGTGGGGTTTATTCCATTGGCGGTTAGTAACAGTTTGAAGAATGTTGCTAGAATTCCTCAGACTTTTTTCACTTGAAATATTCTTTATTTCATAGAAAAGCAGATATATTTTCGATTTAGAGAGACGAGGAGTAACAGTACAGTAAGAGGTAAATTGTTTGTCTTATAATGATTTATTATTTATAAAACACTTTTTATTCCCATAATCATTATCTCCTTTCGTTTTCAGTTAATTTCGATTTCTTTGAATATGATTTTAAGAAAATTACAGAATCAGATGCCATGAAAAAATCTTTTATCTTATAAGACATTAAGCCGAGTTCATGGCCAACGCCCGCATTCGAAGGATCGTGTCCAGTACGGTACGCGACCGACACTGTTGCCATGGTGACGGTACACCGCTTGACTTCGCAAGCGCTAGTCTAGACGTCTACGGAGATCGCTTGAGAAAGAAAGCGAAATGCTTGAGTTAGCAAGAAAAACGCTTGAGATTTCAGGCAAGAACTTTCCCTGCTTAAAATGCCTTAAATTTGAGAATTGTCGGAGGAAAAAATAGGCCCGTCGTTTGTTTACATCGTTGGTCGGCGCTTATTTAGTTATTTCATATTTATTAATACATAAGAATGCTTACAAACGTGTTTTCTTTGGCAAAATACTCTATCGTGCTGGCACAACACACGCAAATGAATCATTACAGAAGGAAAACAAAAACAAAGCGATAAAAGTGTGATGTCCTTTGCAAAGCATATTCTCAACTTTTGTCTCAACTCTGTCTCAAATGTAAGACAGGGTCGCAGGAGTCTTAAGTCATTTGAGAATAGACTCAGGGAAGTATAGGCTTATGTATGTATATGCGCATATATGAGAACAAATATAAATATGTGTATATGCATATGTATGTCTGTGTATATGCATATGTGTATATATGTATGTATTTGTTTGTTTGTGTATATATATATATATTATGTATCTATCTATGTATAATAAACACACACTTACACATATGCATATATAAACACATACATAGCATATACACACGCATAAATCTATATATTCACACATATGCGCATATAAATACATGGGCCTATAATCCAATGTGAAAGTGTCTGAGACGATTCTCAAATGACTTACCAGCGACCCTGTCTTACATTTGAGTTGAAAAAGAAGTTGAGAACATTTTCAGACACTCAAGAATATATATATATATATATATATATATATATATATATATATATATATATATATATATATATATATATAATATATGTATATACATACATGGCAACAGCGTCGGTCGCGTACCGTACTGGTCACGATCCTTAGAATGCGGGCGTTGGTCAGGAACTCGGCTTAAGATCTTATAAGATGAATATTTTTTTCACGGTATCTGATTCTGTAATTTTCTTAAAATCATATTTAAAAAAATCGAAATTAACTGAAAACGAAAGGAGATAATGGAGATTGGGAATAAAAAGTGTTTTTACTTATAAATAATATATCATTATAAGACGAACAAATTACCTCATACTGTACTGTTATTCCTCGTCTCTCTAAATCGAGAATGTATCTGCTATTCTATGAAATAAAGAAGATTTCAAGTGAAAAAGTCAGGAATTCTAGCAACATTCTTCTGTTGATATTGTATTCGATGATTTGTTATACTGAACCTCATAAAATCGGATATATGGGAATGGGTAGGTCTATATTTTAATTCAGGGATGTTCATTTGTTTTAATAACGCATCAGAATGAAAGGGCTGTCAATCGGAAATGTGTGGCATTGTTTTAGAGGCACTTTACATGAATATAGGAGAAAATATTGGGCTTTGTTAAGATGTTTGGGTAGATTTACTCTCCCATTTTGATGCGGCGCTAGCTTGTTAGTTGTTTTGTATTGCGCGCTCAAATTGTTCCCAACCGCCAATGGATTAAACTCCCCTCTCGATCTATGCATTAGTTATCTCTTTCCGAGATTGTTGGTGGGGATACTTGTCTATTGCTTTTAAAACCCAAGTATAATATATGTTGTGTGTTATTTTGACATTTCTATGTTCTCCAATGACTGTTATGATTTGTACTTTATAGAAAGACACTTCCACATGTCTGGCATCACACTGTACAGGGCCTGCCTGCCTTGCCAGTTGTTTTGAATTGTGCGCTCAAACTGTTACCAACCGCCAGTGAAATAAACTCCACCCTCGACTTGTGCATGTTATTTTTTTCCGAGATTGTTGGTGGGAATATTGCATTTAAATCCCAAGTATGTATATTTGTTATTGTGATATTTCTATGCTCATCATGGACTGTTATATTTGTACTTTATAAAAAGACACGTCCACGTGTCTGGCATCACTGAACAGGGCCAGCCTGCCTTGGAAAGCGTTTTAAGCAGGGAGCGGTACAGCGCTTGGCCTATCAGCAAGAATTCTGGCCCAAGCGCTCCCCTGCTTAAAACGCTTTAGTCTCAGAATTGTCTGAGACCTTTCGGGGATACAGACCCAGGGCTGCTCAATGGCACGTTGGCACGAATCACTTGGCATAAACGTCACTTCGTCAGCATAGAATAGGTGATGGTGGGGCCGAATTGCGGTTGTCTCTCTCTGAGTATATATATTCTATAGTGATGAAGTAGCGAGTATAGTAAATTACTGGATGCCCTGCGATTGACTGTGTGTCCGAATCGTGGTTGGCTCAGAAACTGTAATGTCACAGCTGTTGTTTTCTTTGAAGGCCTTTTTTAGCGCATTTATTAATTTTCTTAAGCATTGCCAAAATGCATTTGTATGGCCTATACTCGAGGATTTGTGAGGGGGGGCTATGTGACGTCATCATGTTAAGGCCAAGAACCTAGATGTTTTCATGTATATTTCGGTTATATTAATTACCTCAGGAGTAAACTCAAAATTTTCGCAGTTATTTCCCCTCAATAATCGTTCCATGCTGTTAGCAACCTTCGGAAAAAAGATCTTCATTACAGAAGCTAACAGAAGTTTCACCTTCTATGTTATATTTTCGCTGTCATTACCTTATGGGTCACAATCCAAAGCAATTTTGTTTAAATATGTCATATGTGAAATATTGTATGTAAGAAAAGTTAACAATATATTCTATAAATCTACCTATGATATCATATAAACTATTATCCTGTCATTTCTGGCATCTATCGGCCAGATGTCATACCCGACCGACTCGCGTCATTCCTACATCATCGCTACGTCATAGGGAACTGGAAGAGCCGAAGGGATTACTGGATTGACAGCCCTGCACCGGAGTCTAACCCAATCCCGGCCAACCCAAGCTCCACACCATCCGAACGCGGTCCAGCCCAACCTCTAACCCTCGCATGCTGTCGAGGCTGTAAAGAGCCAGACAAAGGCATCAAAGTGAGGTTAACCGAGTTCGTTGTGACGATTTTTTCAAATGGGTTTGAATGATTTCCTAAGGTATTTATAATATATATATATATATATATATATATAATATATATGGGAGATATTTATTTTCAGTCACATTTTTTTCAATAATTGGATCGAAACGACATGTTTTTCTTTATTTGTCTAGACATGGAATTTATTCCGGTAAATGCCGAGTCAACTCGTTCCCCTGATAGTTGTATAATTCATTAAAAATGGGGATTTAATTATCTCACAGCAGATGGATAACATTCTACTATCACAACTATTCACAGCAGCAAAGCAGCAGCAAAGAATTTGACTCAGAATTCAATTGCTAACGGTCGCGTGACGTCACAAGGTCAAATTCCCCCAAAGAAATCTCAAAAGTATTTGACATCTAATTTATTTCACATACCTTCTACTCTTTCATTCAAACAAAATTATTCCTATACTGCATGTGATTTAAGAGCCTGGATTTACCTTCTCCCTAAAACTTATCCTAATTAACAGTCCATTTACTTCCCTGGTTGAGCTTTTCCCGCGTAATTCCTTCGGTTTCATGATTTTATTATTATTACGCAGCTTTCCAATAGGAAGCATATGACGGCAGCAACGGAAGGGTAAATTAACTACATTACCTTGGCGCCGAAGGGATTTTTGCAGGAGGAAACCCGAGACACGTGTGCCTTGGAGGACGACTCGATGCGACTGAAGATTTCCCTCCATAATTGGTTAGGTGGTCAACTTTTTTCAAGTCATTTTACAAAAGAAAGAATAAAAATAATGATACTTAGACGAGTAAGAACGAAAGTAAATGGGAATATAATTGGAGGAATGTTTTATTATGGAGAGAATTATGATGATTAAATATAATGGATATATAAGCCTTTTATGCAGGGAAAGTTCTTGCTTAAATCTCAAGACTTTTTCTTGCCAACTCGAGAATATCGCTTGCTTTCTCAAGCGACATCCGTAGATGGCTAGACTTGTGCTTGCTAAGTCCAAGGAGGCTATAAGTAAGGTGTTTGCATGTGGAGCAGAAAGAAATTGACTAATTGGCATCTCGTCTGGGTGGCCTGCCTTAGCCCCGCTCCATTTTGACAAAGCTCTGTGTGTGTGTGTGTGTGTGTGTGTGTGTGTGTGTGTGGTGTGTGTGTGTGTATGCATATAAATATGTATATATACATATGTGTCATATTATATATATACATACATATATTGAATACACTTGAATAATCCCCGTGACCTGTCAAAATGGGGCGGAACTATGACGTCACCCGAGTGGCGCCATAGCTAGCCAATCAGGACACAGAAATTGTTTCCAATTGTGGATTGTTTTTATTTTTATTTTCATAATTATTAGTATAAGGAGTGCAACAAAAATCCACACTTTTGTTTGAGCATGCGAATCTTTATTTATTATAATGCTTACAAAACAGGCAGGAAAAAATCATATTTCGTTACGTGTTACTACAGAGCTCAATGGGGATGACACTACCTCCCTTCTACATTCCTTGGCTAAGTCAAGCGGTGTACCGTCCCCATGGCAACAGCGTCGTTCGCGTACCGTACTGGTCACAATCCTTCTAATTCAATGATGTTCACTTGTTTTGATAACGCGTCAGTGTAAGGGTTGCCAATCGGAAGTGTGTGTCCCTGTTTTAGAGGCACTTTCTATGAATATAGGAGAAAATATTGAGCTTTGTTAAGATGTTAGGGTAGATTTATTTACTTCTCTGCCATCTTGATACGTCGCTAGCTTGTCAGCTGTTTTGAAATGCGCGTTCACTGTTACTAAATGCAATGAAATAAACCCCATCCTCAACTTGTGCATAACTAATCTTTCTCCGAGATTGTTGGTGGGAATACTTGTCTATTGCTTTTAAAACCAAAGCATGTATATGCTGTGAGTTAGTTTGACATTTCTATGCTCTCCAAGAACTGTTGCGATTTGTACTTTATAGAAAGACACTTCCACATGTCTGGCATCACACTTCCAAATGTCTGGCATCACTGAACAGGGAACTATCGACAAAAATTCTTGCCCAAGCGCTTCCCTGCTTAAAACGTTTTACGATAACTCATCTTATGCCAGTAGGGTCACGTGACCTATATTTTTGGCCAATAATTCAAAGTTGCTTCATAATACCATATCCTCAGAACATTATTCCGTTAAAGTTAGATTATATTAAATCCAAGACCTTGTTTTAAAGTCACTCCTCAGTTATTTTATGATTGAATTATATGTGACATTAACAAATGAAATACTGGTATTATCTTCATTTTACTAGAATTATCACGACTTTGTTGTTGGTCTAGTTTCAGCGCATTTATCATTATCTGCATTTATTGTGATTGTTGTTTTAAACATATTCTTTTATGAACATTACTTGTTTGATTTTAGACGCAGCCTTCTAGTAATTTACTAAAGCCATTCAGATTGCGTTGGTGAAACTTTCTGCCCAAATAGGTATCATGGCCTTCTGCTAACCTAATGGTTCCCAACTTTTATCATTCTGTGACCCCCAACAAATATATAATAATCTTCATGGCCCCTTTCAGTGACTCATCTTTTCAGATTCAATTATTACTAGTTATGAATAGTGTAATGGTGTCAGTACCTATAGGACACATTTTATTAAAAAAAAAAAAAAAAAAAAAAAAATCCAGTTTAGTGATGTGTGAGAAATAATCTTCTGGAGGTGCTGTAGGAAGGTTAAACTTCAGTAATAATTTTCATATTGCTCCATGGATCCCCAGAAAGTACCCCATGGCCCCAAAAACAACAATACAAAAAACAAGAGTACATGATACAGTACCGAACATCCATCACTTCTTTGCCGAGCTCACAGGCTTGCCTTGAGGTGATCTCGTAGACGGGGGCCTTGATCGCTGTACACTCTGAGGTCTTC